TTATCTCTGTTGCAATTTGTTAACAAAAAGATGACTTAAAATGATGGTTGGGGCACCTGGGTTGTCAGTTAAGTGTCCAACTCTTGATTTGGGCTCAGGTCATGATCCCAGGGTTATGGGATTGAGCCCTGCTTTGGGCTCCGTGCTGAGCATGGAACCTGCTTGGGATTCTCTACCCCCCACTCTTGTGCACGTGCTCTCTCTCTCAAAAAACAATGATGGCTAATTCTATTTCAAAGTTTTCATGGATAATTGTTAACTTTAAAGTTTTGCTTGGATGACAGATTGAATTAAGTTCATTGAACATCCTTCCTTAGAGATTCCTTGGAGATTTATGCTATCTCTAATATATAATTGAAAGTATATAATCAGCCATTCCTCATGACCCCGACGTAGCTCTTTCTGCCCATTGGTCCTGTCCCTGTGCTTTAATAAAATTACCTTTCTGCACCAAAGATGTCTCAATTCTTTCTTGACCTTTCACTCAGAACGTCTACATTTCCACATCATTTTGGTTCCCAACGTGGGGCCCAAGTCCTCTCATCTGGACTTTGAACCGTGGTGCAAACTTGGTGAGTACTTTCTCTTCTCTTCCTTTAACTTCAGGAGCTTTTCAAGGAGTATGGTTTTATTGGAATACTTTTATGTCAATTTCTCAGGCTGCAATGCTCTAGCCTGTGGCTACTCTATGAGGAGGGGAAAGCCTGTCTTTTGGCTGGAAATTAGTACCTTGGTCAGAATGGTAGTAAGACCCAGAAACTTGATGTCCTCTTTTTCATTGGATTTCTAGGTCTTTTCCAAATAGGAGAAAGTGCTAAAGCACTGACAACTGAACACAGGTTTCTGCTTTTGGCTTCTTACTGCAGAAAAATTAAGGATATTTGAGTCTGTTGGTAATACACTTTATGCTTAATTGATTCATAAATTTGCCATCTAAAGAATTCTGGTATAACAGTTCACAATTTGTTACTACTTAGTTTTCACTGGAGACTAAGGTTTCTAAGAGATCAAAATTCTGCTAAGTGTAATTAAGACTGATGAAAATAAAGGAAGCAACTCTGTATGTAGGAAAGCAGATGTGTAAGAAAGATATAAGGAATGGAAATACATTTTTGTTGAATTAAAAGAAAGTAATTTTGTCCATAACGAGACTAGTTGTTTGGAGAGAAATGGCTTGGGACAAAATCTAAATGCAAAGTAAAGTTGTAGAAGGTTTGTGAAGGAAATCTTGGGAAAGGAATTTTATGTGTGGTCAAGACAGACTAAGGTTGAAATGAATGGATTTTATTTTATTTTTTTATTTTTTGAGAGAGCAAGTGAACATGTAAGTGGGGGAGGGGGCGGAGGGAGACAGAGAGAGAATCTTGAGGAGGCTCCATGCTCATTGCAGAGCCTGATGCTAGGCTTGATCTCACGACCCTGGGATCATGACCTGAGCTGAAATCAAGAGTCAGATGCTCCATCAATTGACTAAGCCACCCGGGTGCCCCTGAAATGAATGGATTTTAAAAATACACTAGTATAAAATTAAAATTCTACTTCCAAAAGTGCCTGCTAGGGCAGGTGTCAAAGTGACTAGAGGTCTCCCTCAAATGAAATCTGCTGTTGATCACTGTCCTACCATAAAGGCCCTGTAGGAGGGATGCTAGCTTCCCCCTGCTTCCCTACTGTATCGTACAAATGGGTGCCGGTGAATGGACTGAAATATCATGCCATGCTGTGACAAACATCCCATTTTAAACCCATGGAAAACATTAGAAAAGATTTACAAGAGGAATTTATCCAATTTGGTAATTTAAGTAGTTAATAGAGGACATTGACAGAAAACCCTCAAGATAGAAATCCATCACGGTCTAAGCAGCTTTCCAACACAGGAAGTCTTTTATAGCCAATTTCCCTAGGAAACAGTCCCCAGTTGGGTTTTATTTTATTTATTTATTTTTTCAATTTTTATTTATTTTTGGGACAGAGAGAGACAGAGCATGAACGGGGGAGGGGCAGAGAGAGAGGGAGACACAGAATCGGAAACAGGCTCCAGGCTCTGAGCCATCAGCCCAGAGCCTGACGCGGGGCTTGAACTCACGGACCGCGAGATCGTGACCTGGCTGAAGTCGGACGCTTAACCGACTGCGCCACCCAGGCGCCCCGTCCCAGTTGGGTTTTAATTCAATTGGGTATGGGTTTTGGTGGGCTCCAAGCAGAGGTCTCACAGCCAGAAGAGGCTAGACCAGAGATGTGAAGGGGATCACATTAGACCAATGAGGAGGAAACCTCACACACGAGTCTTAAGATTGGCAAGCATGCTAGTGACTTAGGTGGCTGTCCCATGCCCAAGACAGACAACTTTGTATAAGGACAGGAATAAGGAGAGGTCTGTCGGCTCCAGACCCCCATCACTCTAAAACCTCATCACACAGACTCAGACATGACCAGACAGCTTTAAGGAACTAAGGCTGACTTTACGAAATATGGAGCCATAAAGCCCCTTGGAAATGTTGGCCTTATAGAGGCCAGCATTACATATTATAGAGTGCCCAGCAACTTTATCAGGTGAGTAAAGAAAGCCACTTTCTGGCAGGTGCAGGAACCTCAGGATGTTGGGGGGGTCTTCACGAAGAGGAATTTGCCCAAATCTATAGGTATTGCAGGCTTATCTGATGGCAAGTATGTGGCTTGGCTTCTGGCCTACAGAGGCTACTAATATTAGATTCATTATGAAAAGTTCCAGCAAAGCAGATTTTAAAAGGTCTGGATGGTCAATTGCTATTCTTACTGAGCTTATATAAATAATCCGGCTAAATTTGTTAAAATTGGTCTTGTTTTTCAAATGAATTAGTCTTGATTTGGCTATCTCTGGAAATATGGGTGGTTTTAGAGAGAAAAATTACGTTTCAATAACACATCTTGGTGGATGTTAAGTTCTAGTTGATTTTTGAATGTTTGTTGTTTGCCTAAGCTAGACAGCTTGAGGTAAACTTCAGAGAAATTGCCATCATAGCTCATGTATCAACAATCTTCTTGCTTGTTATTCTGTAGGGATAAAGAAGGACCCCATGGGCACATGATTTTTAAAAAATATTTTGAATGTTTACTTATTTTTGAGAGAGACAGAGTGTGAGTGGGGGAAGGGCAGAGAGAGAAGGAGACACAGAACCCGAAGCAGGTTCCAGGTTCTGAGCTATCAGCACATCTCCAGGCTCTGAGCGTCAGCACAGAGTCTGACATGGGGCTATAACCCACAAACCATAAGATCATGACCTGAGCCAAAGTCAGATGCCTAACCATGACTGAGGCGCCCTAGGCATATGATTATTTAAACAGCTGCAAAATAGGATGGATTCCTCAACAATTATATAACTCAACTATCACCTTGACTAATTCTGTGTGGCTGGGATGACAAAATTGTTCCTTAAAAGCCAGAGTGTATCCCACTCCATGGGGTTAATTATGGACTTGTGGAGATAATGGGTAACCCCACTTTCCTTATGCTATTAGATTGGATGATGCACTTGGGGCTCTACTTGTCTATTCTAAATCTTTTCTAATGTCTTGTCTACTCCTAGACAAGTCTCGCCTCACTTGTCAGTGATTCCTTGTAATTAAGATATTGTTAGGGCTAGACCTCAAAGAGCGCTTCTTGATGGTTTTATCCCTTACCCATATTTGTCCTAGGAACTACCTCTATTGATGTGAAATTGCAAACAGAGGCTTTAGCCAAGCATACAACAGCCCTCCTGGTGGAAGGAGCCTCAAAACTTACTGTGGGACAGTTCCTGATAGTAATGATTTCACATCAGGTCCGAAGTGTTTTAGAAACTAAAGGCCACCAATGAATGATGGGGGTGGGGGGTTCTTACTAAACGCCAGGCTATGCTTTTAGACACACCTGAAGTGGTCCTTAAGACCCACCAGACCGTAATCCCAGTTACTCTTATGCCTGGACCTGACCATCATACTTCTATAAAGCATAGCTGTTCAGAGGTTATTGATCTTGTTATTCTACCTGATCAGACTTAAAACATTCTCCTATTGATGATGCAGATGATGATTTACTGACCGCAGTAGTTTCATGAAAAGGGGGATATAAAAAGCTGGGGACACAACAGTCAGACTCAGACTGTTGAGGCCAAAGCACTCCCAGTAAATACATCTGCCCAAAAAGCAGAGTTAATAGCACTCACTCGTGCTTTACAATTGGCAAAGAGCCTCAAACGCATGGGGCAGTCTGGAGACAGAGAGACAGAGACAGAGACAGAGACAGAGACAGAGAGAGAGAGAGAGAGAGAGAGAGAAAGCTGTTATCAAATCATAATTCTCCTATTAAATATGGACCTGAAATAATAGCTGTCTTAGAGGCTGTGCATGAACCTAAAGAGGTGGCTGTAATTCACCTGGGAGGCATCAAAAGGGAGGGTCTATAGAATCTAAAGGAAATAACGGACTATGCAGCCAAGCAAGCTGCACAAAGTCTACAAATATTAAGTCTCAATACCAGTCCTAACACCAATAAAAGATACATCCCCAGTATCTTCAGATCAAGAAATTCACATAGCCCAGGAACGAGGATATTCAAAAAAGGCACAGGACTTGATTGTTAATAATGAGGGAGAAAGAACAGGTGAAGCAACAGTGTCAGTCTTAATTTCTGAACTCTAACTTGTCACTATTTTTGTTTTTCTGTGCTTGAAAATTTTTATACTAAATTTGAAAATCTGAGGTTGGCCTGAGCAGGAATACTAGCTTCTTACAAGAAGTCCGTGTCTTCTCTCCGTCTACATACTTGGGTAATGAGGGCAGGCCAAGATGGTATGAAGCCACGAGTGGGGCTCGTGAAAACCCGTAGCATAGGTCTAGGTTACGAGTGTGTGACCAAACGTTAGAATCAGAACACACAAATGCGTGTGAAGTCCAAGGTAACAGAAGTGCTTAAATAAATCTAACCAACTTCCAAGCTTCACTGAAGTTGGGTATGAACACTTTATACTCCTGGTCTTATTCACCTATTAGTTCTAAGCCTCTTGGAGACATCAGCCTTGGACCTTCACGTAGACCCTTTTCGCGCTCATCTGTACCTCGCACTTCTTGCTGCGAACCGCCCACAGCACCAACTCACTGCGCCGATGCGACCCGACGCCTTCTCGGTTGCGCCCCGACCGGCAGCCAGCCCAAGCCCCGCCCCCGGTCTTAATGCGAGGACCCTCAGCGGGGCTGTCCGCGGCGGCGCCGTACTCATTCTATCCTGTTGCCGGTGCAGACAATTTCCCACCTCGGCGTGCGCTGCGGTGCGGCATTTTGGCCTCGGGAATTCAGCCGCAGGCCGTGGCCAGCCGTTTGGCGAGAAGCAGTCGCGGCAGGCGGTGGAGAAAGCGGCCTGGACAGAGGCTCTCAGGGCTCCACCATGGCGGCGGTGGTACGCGCTGCAGGCTGCCTCCCTGCGCTGTGTGGCTTGCCGGCGGGTGAGAGCCGGGACGCCGGGAGAGGAGCTCTGAGCGGGGGCGGGAGCGGGGGCTCGCCTGCGGCCTGCAGATGCACGGGCAGAAAGAAGCGGCCTCTGAACCCATCATGCCGGGCTCCGATCCTGCCCGGAGCTGCTGTGTGACCTTGCACGCTTCCGCGCCCTCTCTGGGTCGCAGGGCTTCTGTCTGTAAAGTGAGGGTGGACTGGACGCTGTCCAAGGCTCGTTCCACTTCACCGGACTCCTCCTGCGTGCTTGGCTAACAGGCGCGGGAAACTGGGGAGCAAGCATCGCCTTCCCGGCGGGCGTGACCCACAGGTTCCTTTGGTGAGGTCGATGTGGGGTTCGAGGCCGATGGAGGCAGTCCTGGAGCTTGGGTCGGATAGGATTAGTGTCAGTCATTTTAGATCCCGGGCTGATCAGTGTCATTATTGAAAAGAAGGATGTTTTGAATGTCCTTAGTTTTGCTGTTACTGTTGTCTCCCCTCCGGCCCCGCCCCCCCCTTGTTGGTTTGCAGCCTGAGGAGGGTCAGTCTGCTGTATCCTTTAGCATAAGGTCTACCACTGTGCTTCATGACTAGGGCTTTTTTTCATCCTTCTATTTTATTGTAAACCCACAACCCAACATTCGTAATTGCAAATTCTAAAGACCTCTGAAAACGGAAAAGGTTTTGTTTGTTGCTTTTTGGTCACTCATTTTGTTGGGAAACTTAACCTGAAATGATTTGGCAGGAAATCTGACCTGAACATTCTTTACTTTTGTTCATGTTGTGACCACCTCCTCCTCTTTTCAAGACTCCATTCAAATAACACCTATAGCGTTTGTAGCTTTCCCTCATGAGTTCTTACTGTGTTCCAGGAACTATCTTAAAACTATTTATGCTTTTCCTCACTTCATCTATACAGTGCCTTTGTGAGATAGATGCTTTTACTATTCTTATTTTGCAGACCAAGAATTAAGGCACATAGGTTGAGAAACGTGTTCAAAGTTACACTGGGAGGAGGTCAGGTTTTTGCGCCCACACACACCATCTGGCTCCAGAGCCTGGTTGTGTTTTGTTTTGTTTTTTCTTCTTCTGGTGCATTATAAACTTTTCTTTTGGTAGCAGCTTTATTGAGATGTAATTTACACACCATACAATTCATCCTCTGAAGGTGTATGATTCAGTGGTTTTTAGTATATCTGCAAATCTATACAACCATCACCATAATAAATTTTTAGAACATTTTCATCTCCCCAAAAACATACCCTTTTGCTCTCATCCCCCCGACTTGCTCATTGCCCCCAGCTCTAGGCAACCACTGATCTTTCTACCTCTATAGTTTGCTGTGTTCTGCATATTTCATATAGACGGAATCATATACTATGTGGTCTTTTGTGATTGGCTTGTTTCACTTAGCATAAGGTTTTCAAGATTCATTCATGTTGTAGCATGTAGCACTACTGCATTCCATTTTATGGCTGAATTTCTGTGGCATGTATCTACTACATTTTGTGTATCCATTTATCAGTTGATGAACATTTGGGTTTTTCCACCTTTTGGCTGTTATGCCTGATGTTGCTATAAATATTTGTATGCAGTATTTTTGTTTCTGTTGTGTATAGACCCGGGAGTGGAATTGCTCGATCAAACGATCAAACGGTAACTCCATGTTTAACTTTGAGGAATGGCTAGACTGTTTTCTAAAGTAGCTGCACAATTTCACACTCCCGCCAGCAGTGCGTGAGAGTTCTTCCTTCTCTACATTCTTGTCAACGTTTGTTATTATTTGTCCTTTTGATTATAGTTATTCTAGTGGGTGTGAAGTGGTATCAGTTTGTGGTTTTGATTTGCATTTCCCTGGTGGCTTATAAACATCTTTTTTGTGTGTGTTTATTTGGCCATTTATGAATGTTCTTTGGAGAGATGTCTATTCAAATATTTACCCATTTCTTTTTTTTTTTTAATTTTTTTTAACGTTTATTTATTTTTGAGACAGAGAGAGACAGAGCATGAATGGGGGAGGTACAGAGAGAGAGGGAGACACGGAATGGGAAGCAGGCTCCAGGCTCTGAGCCATCAGCCCAGAGCCTGATGCGGGGCTCGAACTCACGGACCGCGAGATTGTGACCTGAGCTGAAGTCGGATGCTTAACTGACTGAGCCACCCAGGTGCCCCTATTTACCCATTTCTAAATTGGGTTGTCTTTTTATTAGTGAATTGTAAGAGTTCTTTGTATACTCTAGAAATAAGTTCCTTGTCAGATAATTTGCAAAAATTTTCTCCATTTGTGTGTTGTCTTTTCTCTCTGAATATAGTTTCCCTTAAAACACAGTTTTAAATTTTAGTGAAGTCTGATTTATCTATTTACTCTTTGTTGCTTATGCTTTTAGTATATCTAAGAAACCATTGCCAATTTGAAGGTCATGATGATGTACCCTTATGGTTTTTTTCTAAGAGTTTTATAGTTTTTCCTCTTACCTTTAGGTCTTTGACCCATTTTGAGCTGATTTTTATATATGGTATGAAGTAGCACTCTAACTTCATTGTTTTGCAAGAGGATATTCGTTTGTCCTAACACCATTTCTTTTTTCTTTTTTCTTTTTTTTTTAATGTTTATTTATTATTGAGACACAGAGAGAGACAGAGTGTGAGCAGGGGAGGGGCTGAGAGAGAGGGAGACACAGAATCCGAAGCAGGTTTCAGGCTCTGAGCTGTCAGCACAGAGCCCAATGTGGGGCTCAATCTCACGAACCGCGAGATCATGTCCTGAGCCGAAGTTGGACGCTTAACCGACTGAGCCACCCAGATGCCCCTGTCCTAGCAACATTTCTTAAAAAGATTGTTCTTTCCCCACTGATTTGTCTTGGTACCCTTTTCAAACATCACTTACGAATAAATGCTGTCAGAACCTGTTTGGAAGCACTCTGCTATGTGAAGTGGCACATAATACGGTTACAGCCTGAGACTGCGGGAGTTTCAGAGTCTTGAGAGAGGGGGACTCTCTCCCCCAGAGTGCTGGGGGGGCCACTTTGGGAACCAGGAGCCTTCAGATATTTCAGGAGAGTGATATTTCAGGAGAACGTGTCAGAGACACAAAGGGATTGAAGAGCACAGTGTGTTCAAGAATGACTACAAGTTGGAGGTGCCTGGGTGACCAAGTGTCCAACTCTTGATTTCAGCTCAGGTCATGATCCTGGGGTCATGGGACTGAGCCCTGCTTCGGGCTCTGTGCTGAGTGTGGAGCCAGCTTAAGATTCTCTCTCTCTCTCTCTCTCTCTCTCTCTCTCTCTCTCCCTCTCCCTCTCCCTCTCCCTCTCTCCTTCCGCCCTCTGCCCCTCTCCCTAGCTCACACGCTCAACCTCTGTCTTTAAAAAAAAAAAAAAAAAAAAGAATGACTACAAAGTCTGGTGTAGTCAGAGAGGGTGGAGGGGAGAGTGGTGGCAAGTGAGGCTGATATGGGAGGTTGGGTCCTCGTTGCAGTCGCGTAGGCTATGTTGAGGAATTTTGAATTGGTGCAGGCAGTAGGGAGCCAAAGAATGAGAAATCAGAGCTGGGAGGTGACCAGACTTGTTATTTTAGGAAGGGCTGCCTGATGGCAGATGGAGAATGAGAGGGGTAGCAGCAGGACCTACTAAGGGACTGTTGATACTTTGTGGCTGAGGGATGGCACCTGAATAAAGAGGGGGCAGTGAGACCATAGGGGAGGGCGTAGCTGATAGATTTTTGCAGAGAATTAATAGGGCTTGGTAACTGGTTAGACGTGAGCATGAAGGAGAAGGTGATGCTGTCTACTTCACATGGTCATGGAACCTGGAAATTATTCACTTCCTTCTCTTGGTTCTTTTATTCCATAGATGTTAATATTCTTTGGGTGATAAAATGTTCCTTTTAATGCAGAAAGTATCTTAAAAGATTTTTTTTTTTTTTTTTAAATTTACAGGTCACATATGGTCCAGGCAGCTTTACCTAAACACCTTTCCAACAGCTTCCATTTTGGCATTGAAGACTGTTCTCAGCAATGGTGAGATTCATTTATCCAACTACTGTTTCTTACAGGATCGAATGCTAGAGTGCTTCGTGTAACTGTAAATGAACAGAGCACATACTTTTTTTGGGGGGGGGCATTCTTTATAATGGAAGTACATAAGGTCTAGAGTATTTTTCAAATTTTTTAGGATTACAGTTGTTATAGTTCAAGGCTTTAAAAAATAATAGCTATAGTTTTTGACTAATTCCTATGTGCTAGGCTTGTAACACGTTATATTGGTTAATCGTCACCAGTTTTTATGAGGGGGTTGTCCTTTCCATCTTGCAGACGATGGAGTGAGTCTGTGAGAGGCTAAGTGACTTGCTCAAGATTGCACAGCCAGTAAATGGCAGGACTTGGTCCTGAGCTGTCTGGGGACTGTGATGAATCCTCATAATGCAGGGTCTTTGCAGAGGCCTTTGCTTCTACACTGCCATAGCGCAGGGCCCTCTCTTCAGTCACTCTCCAGAAGGGAAGGAAGCCGACCCTTGCCTGGTCCATGTTGTGCTTATGGTCCGTGGAACCCTGCCTTTCCCTATGGTTAGGGTGGAATTGAAATCTCATCGTTTTCTTGGCCTTTTGGAGCTTTACTTTTAGTCTTCTTCTCTTTCATATTATTAACCCCACTTGTCAAGATGCTGTCATACCTTGCTTGAGGGGTTCAGAAGAGGGTGGTGACCTGAACTCTTCCCTTTATTTGTTCACTGACTAGTTGGG